GCATGAGCCTTCGCCCACATTTATGAACCTTGCGAGCCAGCTCATGAAATCACCATGTTGCCCATCACCGAAAACGAGAAAGACACACATGAAATAATGAAGAGTATGTTCGGCTCCAACTCAGAATCTAAGCCAGCGTGTTAAGCAGTTGCTTTACCACAGAGCAACAATATTCGTTTAAACTGATTTGGCAAAAAGTAGTGTATGAATGCCATGCAGTAGGAGTCTCCCTAAGGCATCATACATTGCGTGGCAGTAGCCTACAATCACGCCAGGCGTCAAAGCATGTGAATTGAGTGACGAGTAGGTGTTTGAAAGGTCCACCCATTACAAAACATTCAGCCATATTTGATGATAACCCTCAGCAGATCCATCAACAAAGTGAGCAGATGCGCAGGTTCACGTGTTGCGCGTAGGCCCTTCGATGATTCGCAGAAAGAATGATTATGGCGTATAGTTCTGCTTGCGATAGGCATTCGGTGATACTTGGAAAGGTCCTTTGATGTGCGCACGCAGTGATTCGTTTTCTTGCGGCGCGGTTGAGACGTGCCCCGAGAACCGAAGCGGGGCTTCAATGCTGAAGGCGACGTGCACGAGGCCCGATTACACTAACGCGACATGTTCTTGAAGACGAAGCTCATGCGTCCTCCGTTTTTTTCGTACCAGAACTGCTCCTGAGAAAAACAGACACACACCCTTGCTTTTGTCGGCGAAGTTGGCAGAGAGCTATTAAAGCTATTAAAAGCACAACCAACGTTACGGAAACAGCTATACTAGCCGGCCTTTACAGCACAATGAAAGCTTGCAATGTGCGTAATTGGTCCTGGAAAGCCGTTGCATACCTAGCGGCGGCCGCCAGAAACTCGAGCCTTAGGGAGACATTCTCCCACGGCACTCGTTTGGCCATGGGTATTCTACCAGGGTGCCCACTTGACCGTGCCATACACCCGAAGATCATTTGAATGACGCGCGCTAATGAAAGGGTGTCTCTTTCTGCAACTTGCGTAGCTAAGCCCCATATATACGCTCGCACTTGAGAGATTCTTAATATATATATATATATACTGCGGCAGTGGATTCGTGAGATAATAAGCGCCTGTTTTTTTTTTCCAAAGATGTTTTAGTGTTCCCCACCAAACCATAAGGATTAGGACAAAAGGGCAGGTCGCGGGGTCTAGTCCTAGCCACGGCGGTCGCAATTTTCATAGAGTTGAACGTTCTTCAAGCCCGTGTACTTAGATTAGGGGCACAACCCACCGCGGCGGTCTAGTGGCTAAGGTATTCGGTTGCTGACCCGCAGGTAGTGGAATCAAATCCCGGCTGCGGCGGCTGCATTTATGATGGAGGCGGAAATGTTGTAGGCCCATGTGCTCAGGTTTGGGTGCACGTTGAAGGACCCCAGGTAGTCGAGCTTTCCGCAGCCCTCCACGACGGCGTCTCTCAGGATCATGCGGTGGTTTTGGGACGTTAAACCTCACATATTATTAGATTAGGTGCGCATTAAATATGCACACAGGCGGTTGAAATTTTCAATGTGCTCCACTACTGCAGCTCTCATAATCATGTGGTAATTTTGGGTTGTTAAACCCCATCAACTTCTAATAATATAATCGATGCGAATGGTTCCTGACTGAGGCCGTGTACAATCAGTGCTCGCCGGAGCATCACGACTGAAAAAGAATAGCCTATAAGCCCAAATCCACACTTGAACCTGATCGTTAAACCGAACACTAAATCGAAGCATATTAGTCAACCTGCAAGTGTGACATAAGTAACAAAAGCAACAGAAAGAAACATAAGCAACATGAGTAACATCAGTCGCAAAAACACGACAGGAAGGGAAAGATGGAAGTTTGCAATGCTCAGATCTCTAAACAAACGTTCTGAATAAGTCGAGCTGACGTTTCGACAACTCCCTTCTGAAGGCAGGTGTACTTATCTCAACATTGGCTCGATCACACAACCTCTGTTTTCGGACTTTTTCTTTATCAGTCGAGTAAGCAACGTGACATAAGTAACACAATACAACACAGTATCCAGAATGCAAACGTTAGCATTGACAGTGTCTTAAAGGGGAGCAGAATTACCTGTTTTTTTATGTTTGTCTTTAATACACTCTTACAGGGGGGATAATTGAGGTGTCCTCCTCATGAAAGACAGTTAAGGGGCTCTCTTTTCTCTTCTATTCTTTTAAAATCACTTCCCCTTGCTTGTTCAGTGACGTTCTCATGGTGCGGCATAAAAGGAGGACACCACTAAAGATGGCTCGACTTTCTGGGGATCTTAGAGTGACCTCTGCGAGAAGTTACATGACAGAAATGAACCCTCTAACCGCTTTGTATGAGCACTCCCTTGTTGCCAAGCTAGTTGGTGTGTCACTTCACAGATTGCAACACTTGCTTGACAATTTATTTTTATTTTATTCCCCATTTCACATTTTTTCACGTCTTGCGTTTCAAGACATTGCGTAATGCGCCTCCCGGGCGGAGCATTGTGTAGGGACAACGCCAATCGCGTTTGAAATTTTTTCGGCTGTCCGCCATTCTAGATGTGCGAATTGTTTCATATTACCCCAGAAAGTGCGAGCACTCGAGTGCTACGCGCACCACTATGTGCATTGCAGACATCACGAACCGAGCGAAACGCTGACATGCGAAGCCAGTTGCAGCGCACCTGCGTGCTCCGGCCAAAGGGCCACTGCGCGTGACGGAGCAAGAAAGTGGCCAGTAGCTAGTGACATCAGCAGACACTTCGTTCAATTTGTGGTTTGCGCCGACACCATTCAGCGCAATGCCTCTGGATATTTTTTTTTACTCAACTTGATTGAGTTGAATAAACTTGAATAGTTTTTGGAAAGTACCGTTCTTTTTTTACCGAGCTGCCGCCCGCGTGCCTTCCTTTCTCGCCTTTCACCTCTGGGGCCGTCGCCCTAGAATGGTCACGAAAATCAGGCGTATTATCGGCGTGATATACCATTCTTAATATAAAAGTGTACAGGTCCTCCGCTCGCACGGTGGCCGCTCGGGAGAAAATATGGCATGTTAGAAAGGGAGGTTCGGCCTCTTGTGAGATGATTTAGAGGACGAAAGCGCCTGAGCGGTGGAGAGTGTCGCTTCTTTCTATTGGTGTATTAAGTGGGCCGCTCCGGTCCTTTGGCTCGGAGTCGTCAGATGCCGAGGCAGCTCGCCATCCGAGCACGAGAGACATGCCAGCCTAGTACATCGGCAACCTCACAGCAGAATGAGCCATGCGCCTGTAGTGCCACCGTGCAGGCAGCGCATGTTAAAAATTTCTTCGCAGCATGGAAAATGGCTCCAATCATTTACGTGGCCATCTCCGACCAGCCTTGAAGCAGCGACAGCCTTCTGAGCTCAGCACGTCGATGTGGCGATCGTGGTCGTGCCAACTGCTTGCTTCAAGGCAAAAAAAAAAAAGGAGGACTACAGTACCATCGACCACACTGCTTACAGTCTGTCTCCGAGACCACTTTCCCGCAAGAACCGCAACTACGCTCTCAATGCCTTGCGGGCCTTTCGTGTTCTTCCCGCTCTTCTCCAAGCCAGCTCATCAATCATCATTCACTTCATGGACAGGGCGTAATTTTTTTGATATGGCGCAGTTAAGGCCTCGTAGATGTGAGCTCGCCACATACGCGCTCAAAAACGCAACGAACAACACACGAACCCATGAAGTGCCAGGCCATGTCCTGTTCCAAAAATGCACGCTCGTGCTTTCACTGTCACCTGCTGGCAACCAGGTGTCACGTGATTGCCGGCCGGTGTCACGTGATCCGTCCTCCCGGCCAGGTCGCGTCACGCTCCCACTTCGAAGCCAGAAAGGTCGGTAGCTCTCCGAGTTTTACGCACCGAAAGAACCCACCGAAGTATAGTCCCAATTCTGCCAACCGAACGCGCGGACAGTTTTCAGAGTACTGCAGAACGGTCGTAAACACCCAACTGAACACGCAATATAATAAGGAGCTTCAATTCAGCCCAGGAATGGGCGTCGCCTCAGCTGTGCTCTAGAATGGTGTCAAGTGGAGAGGATGCGTGGGATATACTCGTGCATTTTCGCTGAAAAGACGCCTTTCTTCATCGTACAGCTCTTCGGGCGCTAATCGTTCAGATATAGATGTTTAATTTGATTATTTGAAGTGTTATATTCGCCGGTTTCTCAACAAAGACATTATTTTTCAAATCATGAAAGATATTAACAACATACGTGACAATAAACTCCGGCATGACGACTTAATATACGCTTCCATTTTTATTTTTCGTTAACGAAGACAAGCTTTCTAAAAGCAAAATATTCGATACCAATTTACAAAACAAAATATTGATGAGCCTTCGTGACATTAAAACTATCAGGAAATAAAATGGTTACAGGGTTAATAAAAGATGTAAAATCTTGTTTTGTTTGGTATTAAGGGATTCGAATTGGCGAGGTGGTTGCGTCACATCTGACTAAATCCACCGGGATAAGTGCAGACCTGCCTTCGAAGAGAGGTGCACATGCCTGCAGTTATTCATGGACAATAGGCTGCCAAGTGGGCATTTGCGTATAGATAGTATGGATTGCGGGCGCTCATTGCAATGACACGAGCAGCAGGATCTGGCAAAATATACCTGATCAAGTATTGCGATATCGTGTGACCAAATGACAATTATTCTGCATCGAGAGCGGCGCCTAAGATTATGATTGGAACGCACACTGATAAAAAAACACAAAGGGAATTTTGTGATTCAGTTGCTTGTACACTGCCTGCGTAACCAAGTCGTGGTGCCAGCTCTGGGTATGCTAAGCCGAATAAAGTTCGTTATAACAAATGTGCTGGTTAGGACCCTCTTTCGGTCATCACGTTTGTGTTGCTTGAAGATACGAACAAGTCCTAATCTTCCGATTGGCTATCCGTGAGAGCTCATTTCAGAAAATCGTCATGTACTTACGTCACCTGGACCCTAGCGAACAGCCTTATAGGAACATGACATGTTGGCACTGACCTGCGTTTCGGTGAGGCTGAGTGACTGTGCGAGTTGCTTCCTCTCGGCGCCGACAACGTAATGGTTCTTCTCGAAGGCGTGCTCCAGCTTCAAAAGCTGCGACGGCGAAAAGGCGGTGCGGATCCGCTTGGGCTTCCGGAACGGGTGCAACAGGAAGCCCGCCGGCTCGGGACCTGCAAAGGCATGACGCCACTGTTTCGAAACTCTACTTCTAAAGAAAGATTGCTTGACAACCACATTGCCCTTTCTCGCCATCTAAGCGTGGACGGTAATACTAAATTCCGCTTTATAAAAAACTGTACATCAAGTTACACAAACAACCATTTAAAAACAAAAACAAAAACGCATTCATATAGTTCAGGAAGTGTCAATGCAAGCGTTCATATTACGTTACATTTTGAGAAAGGAAGTAAGGAAAGAAGAGCCTTGAAAATGTGGCACACACCCACGTTGGGACATCGGCCAAGAACCGGGTGGCTCATACGAAAAACTGTTCATTTGTTAGCTGACATCTTTTAAACTAATGAGAGGGATCAATGGAAAAAATAAATATCCGAAAAAGATAATTAGAAATAAAGGAAGCAGATACTTTCAACAACAACAATAAACAAATGAATGAATAAAGCAACGCGGAAAAGGTAATTTAAGGGTAAGAATGTGTTCTAGAGTCTGGATTTCTTTGAAACTTTAATAAACTTCTCCAAGACATCGGCACTTTCACGTCACTGAATCCTTTAGGGACGAAGCCCCTAAAGAGGGTACATTTGAAGTGTTTAACCCCAATATTACGACACTGAAGACGGCATCTAATGTGATTTTGCGCAATGCAGCGTATCTTTTCACAATATATCAGATAATGGTATACGTCTGTTGTCGCGGGAACTCCACAAAACCAACAATTAGGGGAAGCAGCTATACCAGCTCGGCAGTGTATGAATAAAAATTGAGATGAAGAGTTTGACACCTAAGCCTAGTGATTGCGACTTCAACTGCACGCGTGTGACATATTTTACTGTTCCACCGATGATGATGTACGAGCATTTCTGTCTCTCTTCTTGTTGCGGACGTCAAGGCCACTGTCCACAAAAACGTCATGACACGTATGACCACTAGATTAGGAAAACTGATGGAAAGTAGCGAAAAAAATGACGAAGAAAATAATATTGTACTCAGAAGACGCAACTGTCCCAATAAACCGAGTTTGTTTCATATGTTTTTGAGAAGTTGGCTAGTATAGCTGGGAGAACGCGAGCCTTGACGCCACCGCGGAGGATGCAGAATGTCCTGCACCACTGACGTGGAAGGAGAGTTGCCCTTCTACACCACTGCTGTGTGAAGCCCGTATACGTTTCGGAGTGCTACATCTGTTTGCTGCCTTATTAGTGATTCTAGGAACCATGGGCCAAGCCTGTCCCGTACGTTAACTCAGGCAGGATGTAGGAAAAAAAGACGCGATAAAAAAGATTGGGTGCTGCACTGGAACTGTTCATTCCAAAAGACAAGCCAACAGATTGCGCCAATTTGCGCATGCGTGCGTTGGTATTTCACCAAGTACAATTATCCTGTCATATCATAGGATTTCCTGCAATATTTACTATAGAGGGAACTATGGCGTTGTGATCATTCAGCCACCATAAGATTTGATTGATTTGTGGGGTTTAACGTCCCAAAACCACCATATGATTATGAGAGACGCCGTAGTGGAGGGCTCCGGAAATTTAGACCACCTGGGGTTCTTTAACGTGCGCCGAAATCTGAGCACACGGGCCTACAAGATTTCCGCCTCCATCGGAAATGCAGCCACCGCACAGCCACCATGAGAATGATGGGTACACGGATTTCTCTATATAAGGTTCGTGCTTGCAGGCTTCGAACGCAGTTGTGGCTTCATTTATTGTTGTGCGACCAAGCTGCCTCAGGCCACACGGAGCTTAACGTGGCAGAAAGAATAAATGTGAGACAAATCAGTGTAGTACGCGTCGTTCTTATGGTGGATGAAGCATCGTGTGTTGTGTTGGCACTATATATATATATATATATATATATATATATATATATATATATATATATATATATATATATATATATATATATATATATATATATATATATAGACAGAGAGAGAGAGAGAGAGAGAGAGTCCCCTCTCTCTGTTTTTAGGCCCTTCCGCAGTGGTCTAGTGGCTAAGATACTCGGCTACTGACCCGCACGTCGCGGGATGAAATCCCGGCTGTGGCGGCTGCATTTCCGATAGAGGCGGAAATGTAAGCCCGTGTGCTCAGATTTGGGTGCACGTTAAAGAACCCCAGGTGGTCTAAATTTCCGGAGCCCTCCACTACGGCGTCTCTCATAATCAAATGGTGGTTTTGGGACGTTTAAACCCCACAAATCAATGAATAAATTGCGCTCATGCTCTCATAGCCGCAGGCTTTTTGCCGATATACGGTGTCCGAGGTTGAAGAGGTTTTTTTATTTCATGTGTGCCCACAGAAAGCGTGGGACCAATGTTACGGGAGGCACGTTTTTCGCATCCATTACCAAAGTCTTTCCAGCTCGGCCCTCTGGTGGCAAACGCTTCGCATGCCTGTGCTATATGAACCGCGGAGCCTGTTGAGATACACTGGTGACGACTGGCACGCCAGTTTATGCTGCCGAACATTAAACGCCACCTCCTATGGCGCGACCGCTTTACGCGCAGTTTCTCAGAAAAAAAAAACCGCATCAAATTAAGTATTTCTGTCTAGCTTCTGCCTAAAATGAACGTTGTGTCTATTGATTTCAGGACTTTGGCTCAAAATCTCAGCGTGAGAAATTTCGTTCAATATCATGTCAGTTCCGTTGGTTTAATGTATGAAGCCCGGTCAAGTGATGATTGCTTCGACACGCGTAATAGACGCTTCCTGTGAGCCTAGCGAGCATAATGGCGACACACCATGTGAGTGCTGCGTAATGGTTCATTCCACTTCCGAAAGTTCGGTCGCTATAATTTGTTTCCTGTGTGCGTGTATGACATTTTTTTTAGTCCGTATGAACCGCGTTCGATTGCCTTTGGCACATATTGTTGCAGTCGCATTCTTCAACCGTAGCTGCCAGGTGCTCCCATCATGTATGTTCGCGCGCGTGTCTGCATGTGTGCGCATATATACATACATATATATATATATATATATATATATATATATATATATATATATATATATATATATATATATATATATATATATATATATATATATATATATATATATATATATATATATAAACGTGCGAAGTTTCAAATTTTCCGTCAGTTTGAATTCCCCAACCACCATTCGCCCTCACCAATGCCACCAACAGTTAATGTTTTCTCATTGTCCAAGGGAAAAAGGCAAAGGCGTTTAGTGTGAACTCAGCAGCAACGTTGGGCTGCGGTAATAACCAGCACCCAAAAAAATAACGCCTCTACCACGGAATTCCTAACGGCGTTGCGTGCAGTGAGGGTCGGAATAGTATAATAAGAACATCAGACATTCACGCCGCGTAATCTATAACTTTACTTCAGCAGGAAACACACCAATGCGTTGTTCCCAAAAATATGACCTGGATTATGGTCCCGCAATAAACGGGAGCCGTAAGAAAGCATGGTGACGTGTGTGCATGGTTATTGGAGACCATACTGTTTACTGCTTGCTCTATTCGCATTTTTCGTCTATGCTGCGAGTACGACGGGAGAGAAGGGCGCAGGACGGTCGGCATTCGTCTCATTAGAATACGCAGCACCAGATTCATGAATATCAATGGAAAATATTTAATGCCGGCGATAATGCTACGTGTGCTTAGGCGGCGGGCGCTGGAAAGAGAGGCCGCGACACAATGCAGTGCAAGCGGGAAAAAAACATGACGGCGTGAGAACGCCGCAGACGTCGCGACGAAAGAAACATGGGCGGGACCCTATCGACGGGTCTAAAGAAAACGTTGCGAATCGAGGTCCTAGGGAGCGCTTTGTAAATAGTCCCCTCTCATCAACGGTCGGTAACCAGAGCGCCGAATTAGGACTCCATTGACGCACTATGAAAACTCGCAGCGGCCCCGTCCGCCTCGTCCGAATGCGTCACCACCGTCGTGTGCTTCCATTGTCGTGTGCTCTGCCGTCACTGTTAAGCCGCTCCAGAGGAGGCGAGAATATCTGCCCTCTCCGACATCTCTGTTGGTCGAAAGGGGCGGGCTGGCACTTGGGGGAGCTGTTGTATGGATCGGGGGTGTGTCATGTATACATAACAGGGCTCAGCGACGGGCGCTCACAATGGAGCCCTAACAAACGTATAATTCACACGCCCGCATCCCCGAACAAACCGCCGTGTCGGCAGGGCATCCGCCACGTACCCCTCAACGCACTACCTCCCATCCACTTTTCCAATATCTGTGACGCGCCCCGCGTGACAAACGGGAAAAAGGCGAAGCAGAAACATATGTCGCGGATATGCGGCTGCTTTTCAGTGAGCATTAGGCCCGCTTCCATCCATCGTGCTCTTCAAAGTGGCCCTGCCACTCGACGCTCATCTGCGAAGCAAGCGTGCTGCCGACGACTAAATCGCCCGCCCCATTCAGCCTTTGAGTCGGGGTGCGAGCCTCTGTTGGCACCCGTGTTCTGCTCCCACCCACTTCAATCCAGGCTTCTCTTTCGCCGACAAGAGAGCCGCTTTCGTTTCCGACTGCGCTATTGCGCCTACTTAATGTTCCCGATCGATGCCGACCCTCCCCTCACGCGCTTTCTTTTCGCCCCGGCGCTTTGATCCCTTTTCGAGGCGCCGATTGGCCCGCCAGTCGGGCTGCTGATCTCAATGTCGCCGCATCCGGCGAATGGCGTTCACCGTCATTCATTGCATAGCGCGATGACGATGGCGACCGGGTCGGCCGCGCTCTTCCCAGCTCGCTCTTACTTTATCGCTGCCTTCTCGCCACTTCATTCGCCCGTCCATTCAAAGCCACGCTTACTGGACTTCTTTTTTTCTTTTTTTTCCCATACTACCTAGTGTGCGGCACATCGAATATCCCGACCCCATCCGTTTGATGTCCTGCCTTATTCACGCGTCTTTATGCCCCTTGTACGTTAAGGAAAGACCGGTTCAACACACGCGAAAAAGCAGTGTCTAAAGGGCAGCGATGCGTATGGTGCTCTCGCGAAAATGAACGT